TGAATTGAAATTAGGTAGGTATAGCGTAGAATTGATGTTTCTGGTACATTTGAAGACTGAATTACTTAACATTTTTTGTATAGGGAGGATAATTACTCATCAAATGTTATTAAAAATTGAGAATTTTTACAACGGTGATGAGTATAGTGCTTTGATGCCCGGTATGGAAGACTTTGTTTCAGTTCGAAATAATGATGGTAATCGAGTACACGTCCAAAAACGGCTTGTTCTGTCTAACTTAAAAGAACTGTACCAATTTTTCCGTGAAATAAACCCAACAGAGAAAATTGGATTTTCGAAATTCGCTTCTTTACGACCGAAACATTGTGTGTTAGCAGGAGCAAGTGGAACACACACCATCTGTGTATGTACGATCCATCAAAACTTTAAGTTGATGATGCTTGGTAATTATCAAATTAATTAAAAATTATGTGTGTGAATTTTCTGTTTATTTAATAACTTTTCTCTTAGGTGCAAATCTTCATTCCTTAACAATAAATACAGAAAAGCCCATGAAACACTATAGTGATTGTTTGGACATGATAATTTGTGAGACTCCATCGGTGCAATGTTATTTGGGTGGATGTAACAACTGTCCAGGGGTAGATGAGTTGAGTAAAATTCTACTATCATGTTTTGAGAATCAGGAGATCGAGAATATTACGTATAAGTATTGGATATCAAAACCGAGAAGTAGTTTGGAAACTTTTATCAAGCCGACAGAAGAATTTATTGAAAACTTTTGTAGTGAGTTAAAAGTTCTTTTACCTCACTCGTTTATTGCTAAACAACAAGCCAAATTTTTTAAAACATTGAAAGAAACACTGAAACCAAATGAATTTGTCATTATTTGTGATTTTGCAGAGAATTACGCGTTTGTAGTACAAAATGCAGCATCTGGTTTTTACTGGAATAATAACCAGGCAACAGTTTTTCCGGTAGTTATATATTACAAAATAAATAATGAATTTGATCACAAAAGTTTAGTAATTATTTCAGATTGTAATAATCACGATGCCGTTGCTGTTCATGTTTTCATCAAACTAATAACTGATTATGTAAAAAGTCTTCCTGAACGCTGTAACAAGATTTATTATTTTTCTGATGGAGCTCCTTAACAGTTCAAAAACTTCAAAAATTTTGTAAATTTATATTATCATGAAGATGATTTTGATATTCCTGCTGAATGGCATTTTTCTGCGACGGCCCATGGCGAAGGTCCGTGTGATGGAATTGGTGGCATCATCAAACGACACGCAGCAAGAGCAAGTCTCCAGCTTGCAGTTGATAAACAAATAACGACACCGATAGAATTTTTTGAATGGGTTTCTAATCCGAATAACTTACCAAATATCATAGTTAAGTTTTCTCCAGAAGAAGATTATAATACAGCATTAACTGATTTAAATGACAGATTTTTGAAAACGAAACCAATTGTAGGAACTCAACAGCTACATTGTATAATTCTGGACAAAAATGGTTGTTTGTATGTTAAAAAATTTTCGAACTCTAATGAATACAGAATTTGTAAAATATTGAAACGCGAAAGAGAAAATTAATAAATGATTTTTCGTATTGTTTTTGTGAAATCATTGGATATTAACTGTATTAATCATTAAACTTAGTCATTATATTCGTAAATTAAGTCTATAAATTGAGAATTGTATCACAAAATCGTTGAATTATTTTTATTTTATGATAGAAATAAAGTATATGTTTACGGAAAAAAAATTTTTTCCATTTTTGAAAATTTGACAATTTTTTTTTTAAATGAATAAAAAAAATATAAAAAAAAAATCGGCCCTGCTTGGAATTAGCGGGAATAGTTGTCGAATAAATTGAAGTTTTTTTTGAGAAAAAAAAAAAAAAAAGAACATGACGGACTTCGAAAAAATGACGATTTTACTTAAAAAAAACCGATTATTTTATATAATTGATCATGTTAAATTTTTTTCGTATATTTTTTCGAAAAGTTCATTCAAAAACAAAAATTTAAAAAAAAAAAGGTACCCAAAAGTTAATTTTTAAAAAAGTTATGGCTATTTGAAAATAAAAAAGCCATTTTTTTGAAAAATTCATAACTTTTTTTGGATTGGATAAAAAAATTTTAAAAAATTCTCAAAAATGTCTTTCAAAGGGTAGAAAAGAACAGTAAAGTTTCAGCTGAATCTAAAGGGGTCGGGTTCAAAAGTGGTCGATTTGGCATGGAATACCCCATATATTCTAGTATATATTCTGGAATATATTCTGAAATATATTCGAGAATATATTCTAAATATATTCCGGATATACCCCGTTTTGCCCAAGGAATATATTTGAAAATTATATATACCTGAATATATTCAGTATATACTCGTATTCAATATATACGATGGATCAGACTATAGATCTGACGACAGACCAGAGAAAAATTTTGAGTAAAACGGAATACAAGTGAGTGCATGCCCATATATTCCTCGGGCAAAACGGGGTATATTCGGAATATATTCTCGGATATATTCTGGAATATATTTCAGAATATATTCCAGAATATATACTTTTTCCGTGGGGGGCACATGCTCCTTATTATTTTAAATTTAATAAAAAATGCCATGTTTGCTTTTGTTAAAAATAAGAATTACCCGATTATAAAATTTTGGTGTGAATATGGTGAGAAATCTTTTATTGTCGAAAACAAAAATGATAGAATGATTAAAAGAAAGTTTGGCATTAGTGTGTTAAAGTATATGGGTCATTCCATATCAAATCGACCAGTAGTTGGAATCGACCCCTTTCGATTTGGATGAATTTTGGTCAGAAGTTTTCTTTTATCATAAAACGAAGTTCTGCCAAAGGAAAAAAAATAAAAAAATTTTTTTCGAAAGATATACAAATTCAAAATTTCGCGATTTTTCCAGTTTTTCAATTTTGTTTTTGCAATATCTCGAATGCTATTATAGATACAGGAATGGGCTTTTGTTTGTTTAAAAGAGGACACTTGGGGCTATTGAAAAAAAAATATTTTGAAAAAAAATTTCGAAAAATGCCAAATTTGTCAAATTTTGAATTTTTGAAAATTGTCAAAAATGAAGACCGCCATTAAAATTTTGGCTCAATTTTTTTTCTGTGATACCTTGTAATGATCTTAAGAGATCCTGAAATTTTTGGATAGGGGGTTTTTTTTTTCAAAGATATATATTTTTGAATTTCAAAAAAAATTTTTTGAATTTCAGAAAAAAATTTATTTTTGTTTTTTGCAACTTCTATACAAGTTAAAGTTATGCAGATACATAATATTGTAATTTTGAGTATTTAGAAATCAAATGCACGACGTGAAAATATTAAATAATAAATTTATTCCAACTTTTATTCATTTTTTAGAGATAATCTAAAAGTCAGGCTTAACGCATGATATAATTGCACGACTCATGATGCGAAGCATCAGAGAGTGCTTTACGATCGAAAAATTTTTTTCGCCTCATTTTGGCAGCTATACTTATTATTATAGCCTTGTTAGTTCACGGAATCAAGGAATCAAGATATTTTGCATACTATTGTCGAGATAATTTAATGGAGATTAATTCTATACTTTTTAAAAATTGATGTACTGTAATAGAATCGGAACAAAACACCAAAATAGGTCAAAAAATTTTCCTGTCCGTCATGTGTAAAACCCGGAAACACTGTAACTTGTGAAAAAATCCATTATTTGAGTTAAATTTTTTTTTTTAAATTCTAATCGACGATTGTAGGTCACTGAATGCGAATGATTAATTAATTCAGTGTCGTTTAATTATAATTAATAAAAAACGAAAACTACAAGACTGTATATCTATATATATCCATGTAAAATTAACATGGATGGTGACATATCTATATATATTATGTACATTTATTCCACCAGAGGCGCTTGTGCAGTACCTTCCTAGTACAGCTGTTTTTTCGGCAACTAATTTTGAACGACTTATGTTGTCTTTTTTTTTTTTTTAATATTTTATAATTAAATGAGCATTATAAGTCGTGCACTTTTGGATTTTCCAAACTTTTTTTATTTTCTCAATGCATGATATATTTTGTGCGTTTCTTCACTTCAATTACAATTTTTAACTTCAAATAACTCAAACAGATATCAATTTTCTATAAAAATTAGAAATGATTTCATGAGAATATCAATTTTTTTTCGTTCTTTCGAATACTTATTTACTTACGAATTTCTGCACATACATAGTTCTCAATCTCAAATTACAAATTATTCCCATGTTAATAAGACGTCAAGTGGCATCAACAACTTTAAATGAAGTAAAAAATGGACAATTAACAAATTCTATCATGCGTTAAGGATGACTTATTTTAAGGATGCAAGATTATGTCTAAAAAATGAATAAAAGTTGAAATTAATTTATTATTTAATATTTTCCCGTCGTGCATTTGATTTCTAAATATTCAAAATTACAATATTATGTATCTGCATAACTTTAACTTGTATAGAAGTTGCAAAAAACAAAAATAAATTTTTTTCTGAAATTCAAAAAATTTTTTTTGAAATTCAAAAATATATATCTTTGAAAAAAAAAAAACTCCTATCCAAAAATTTCAGGATCTTTCAAGATCATTACAAGGTATCATGCAAAAAACATTGAGCCAAAATTTTAATGGCGGTCTTCATTTTTGACAATTTTCAAAAATTCAAAATTTGACAAATTTGGCATTTTTCGAAATTTTTTTTCAAAATATTTTTTTTCAATAGCCCCAAGTGTCCCCTTTTAAACAAACAAAAGCTCATTCCTGTATCTATAATAGCATTCGAGATATTGCAAAAACAAAATTGAAAAACTGGAAAAATCGCGAAATTTTGAATTTGTATCTTTCGAAAAAAATTTTTTTATTTTTTTTCCTTTGGCAGAACTTCGTTTTATGATAAAAGAAAACTTCTGATCAAAATTCATCCAAATCGAAAGGGGTCGATTCCAACTACTGGTCGATTTGACATGGAATGACCCATATAGTAATTACATTAGAAAATAATATTATTTTATATTTAAAGCAATAACTATAACTGGTTTTAATAATTTTTAGGATAACAAGCTCAAGAATTTATGTCCTGTGTGCGAGAAACACTGTCCAACTCGTTTAACAAAGCTAGATGATAATTTATGTTGGAATGGACAAAATTGTCAAAAAAGTAAGAAATAATGAACCTATGTTTATAATGTCAAAAATATTAATTTCTACGTATGATTTAAAAAATTTTCTAGTTTGTAAATGTGGTGATCGTGCTTGCAATCCGTCCAACGAATGCTGTCATCCCCTATGTTTAGGAGGATGTACTGGTCTAACAGCATTAGATTGTAAGATATGCAGAGATGTAATTTTACCTGATAACAAATGTGCGAAACAGTGTCCAGAAAATATGTATGAATTTTTAAATCGTCGATGTATAGATGAACATAAATGTCGGAAAATGAAAAAGCCTTTGGAATCATTCGGAAACGTACGGGATTATCCATATAAACCTTTTAAAAATAGTTGCGTGATTGAATGTCCAGCAGGTTATATGGATGATGAAAATGATAGTAAAGCCTCATGTAAAGAATGTGACCGTGCTTGTTCAAAAGTATGCTCTGGAGCAAGTGTTGATAGCATTGCTTCTGCTCAAAAACTTCGTGGTTGTACTCGTATCGAAGGTAGTTTGGAGATACAAATAAAAGGTGGCAAACACATGGTGAAAGAACTGGAAGATAATTTAAACATGATAGAAATAATTGATGGCTACTTAAAAATTGTACGAAGTTTCCCTCTGATATCTTTAAACTTTTTAAAAAATTTAAAATTGATTAATGGTTCTCAATTAGAAAACGATAAATATACATTAGCAGTTCTTGATAATCAAAACCTTCAAGAGTTATGGGACTGGGATACTCATCCACCTATTACTATAAAATCTAAAGATGGACCTGCCAAAGTATTTTTTCATTTTAATCCAAAGTTGTGTCTTCAAAAAATAGAAAAACTACGAGAAGTTGCTAAACTCTCTCGATTTACAGATTTAGAAGTTGCACCAAATAGTAACGGTGATAAAGTAGCTTGTAACGTAACTGAATTAAAAGTATCTGTAACTAAAAAAACTGCTGAAGCAGCACTTATAGAGTGGAAAGCATTTGAACATCATGATCCGAGATCATTATTAGGTTACGTTGTTTATTTTATAGAAGCACCCCATCAAAATGTTACAATGTACGATGGTCGTGATGCATGTGGAGGAGACGGTTGGAGAGTAGATGATGTTGCTCCAGAATCGTCAAACGAATCATCAAATCTTATTATTACTGCTTTACTCACTCAATTAAAGCCATACACTCAATATGCATTTTACGTTAAAACTTATACCATCGCCACAGAAAGATCAGGTGCTCAGAGTAAAGTACAATATTTTACAACTTTACCTGGTGAACCAAGTCAACCCAGATCTTTCTCTGTTTGGAGTAATTCTAGCAGTGAATTAGTCATGTCTTGGCTTCCTCCACTTCGAAGTAACGGAAATTTAACATATTATAGAATCATTAGCAAACAGGAAGTATATGATCCTAATCTTCTTGCGAAACGAGATTACTGCGATAAACGTGAGTAATTTATTATTATTAATTTTTTTCCTAATTATTACTATTATTATTAGTATTAATACTTTGAAAATTTTTCAAAAGAAATTGTTTTGTTAGGGTGTTTTAATTTTTTATTAGACAATACGTAAAAATCAATAACATGTAGATGATTCCATTTGCAATTAAACATACACTCTTTTGATTTGTATAAATTTTTATTAGAAATTGGTTCTGATCATGAAGTTTTGTCAAGAGAAAAAAAGTTTTTTTTGAAAGTTATGCAAAATAGAGTTGATACATATTCGAGTAATTTTAAACAATAAAAAATGTAATTTATGAAATAAGAATGTAAAATTAGTAACACAATCATTGTTACTGATTTTTTTATTGATATAGCTTCGATTTAAGGAAAAAATCAGTTACGAAATGGTACATCTCACTTTTTAAATATTTAGTGTTAAAGTTCTCATAATTAAATTAATTGGATTTGTAGAGGTTGGTAAATTTATTAATAATCCACCAGTGAAAATGGCTGTATCATATGTAACAGTTATTTTAAATCTCCCAACACTTCATAAAATTTTAGATCTCAATAGAAAATGAGTTATGGAGCAAACAAAGTAGTCAATTGAATTGCTTTGAGGTGAATTATATACTCTGATAGAAACTTCATTGATTGTAAAGATTTCTTCAATAAAAAATACTTTTTTCATATTTCTCAAACTAGTAATGTTCTTAATATTAACAACTAGAATTTTCTATCAAAGTTACCATTCGATAAGTTTTTGGATGTTTGGAAGCTGTAAAATAGAAGAAAAATGAGATAAAATATCAAAATTTTTTGAAAGAATATATATTTCACTATAGTATTCGAGCTCATAACAAAAAAGGTTGTTATACTTCAATTTCTTAATTGAAAGAGTTTTATAACATACTAATTGTTAATCGTTTCAAGCATAAGCTGAGCTCTAGTTTAAAAGTTTTTCAAATTTTTAAATTCATTTTCAATTTTAAACAGCGAATTTCTCAAAAGTATTTGTGTTCAACGAAAAAACCTGATTATATGTTTTCGTGATCTAAATTCATGTCATGATATATTACGCCTTGAAAATTAATTTGTTTAATTTTTTTTTTTTTTTATTTGACCCAACGGTCTCTTCTCTCCTCTAGTACTTAGTTCTTCAAAAAAATGCTTTGTCTTTCTCATTATCTGTTCATCTAATTCTTTTTCTTGACTGACTTTCAGCTTTATTTGTTTCTTATGACATCCACAACTTTTGCTGAACATTAATCTAACTTAATTTGCCGGGTTATTGTCTAGATTGCAACATTTTTTTTTTTTAAACGGTATATCAACCTCTACGTATCTCTTAACATACTAATTGTTTCTCTGCATCGCTTTTTCGATTTTTCCTATTGCCTGGTCTCTACTTTGCCGCGCACCGAACACCCTTGTGTCTTTTGAGATGGGTTGATGATTATGTTTGGGGATAGAGTGCTTATTAAAGCGAAAATAAGTTGAAATTTTCAATAAACGATTTGTAAACTAGAGGACAGAATTATCTAACTCAGTACGCAGTGATTTTTTTAAAAATTTTAATTTATTTATGTCCGGAAGACTTTGCTGTTCCTCACTTTCCTGTTCTCCCCTACTCTTAGATAGTATTACGGGGTATCAGGAAGTGGTAATTCGTAGTAAATTGTCTATTTACTATTTGCTACTTGCTATTTGATAATAATTTGTTGTATTTATCATAAATTTAAGTTATATATATATATATATATATATATATATATATATATATATATATATATATACATTAGAAATAAACTTTTTTTTTTTTTACTATACTATACTATATTTGTTACTATACTACAATTTTTACGATATCATTTCATTGATGTATCTACTAAAGGAATGATTACGTATGTAATTCGAAGTCGTAACTGCTTCCCCCTAATACGAACGGCAGATCTGACTCAACCACCAATCCTTTGAATTGTCCAGCAGAATTTTATTTATTTATTAATTTTTTTTTTTTCACTACCCAGCTCCTGATAGTCTTCTCTGGATCCTTACGTACCTCAGGTACTCATCAAACTCGCTGATACAATACTGTTATTCATTCTTAGATTGCAAAAATTTAATCTTCAGGTCTGTAAAAGTTGCTACCATATTTTTAAACTCATAAAAATTATTTTTTGCCTTTAAAGCGGGTAGCCACTAGGACGGCCGAAAAAATAGGTGCACAGAGAACCACAGAGAAAACCCATGCCAGTACAGTTGGATAAGGGCTAAGCTCACGGAAATCGATAAGAAACTCTTCTGTATCGATTACCAAAACATTAGTCCCCTCTCCTAGCGCACAGAGATCTACGCGCTAGCCAGCGCTGACTAGGCGGTCACCCATTCAAGTACTAACCATAGTAAATGCTGCTTAACATGGGTGATCGCCAGAGTCAGACGCGTGCCGCGTGGCTATCTTCGCCGCAGCTATTGCTAATTATAATTAAACTACATTCTATTAGACCGTGATCTTCGAAAGGACTTAGTCTTGGATAATACTGAAGCGTATAAAAAAAAATTAGAAAAACGGTAGACCCTGAAGGCCATTCCGACTAATCCCATACCTAGGTGCTTAAAATTTCACTAATGATATTTTTGAGTTCTCCGATTTATGTATTATTTAAAGCTCTCCGAGCTAAAAGAGATAGCTTTTTTATGCTTTTGAGCTCTTTGAGCTCAAAAGTCTGATAGAAGTTTCATAAAACAATATTTTTTGAATTTTCAAATCACAATATCTTTTGAATGAATCAATCGATTTTTACGCAGCTGGCGGCATTTGACGCAGTTTTTTCAGCTTCATGAAGAATTTCCAAGTTTGAATTGATAAAACTACAACATTCGGAGTAATTCCGAAAAAACATTTTATTTGGTTTTCTTTCTTTCACGATATCTCTTGAACGAATAGACCGATTTTGACCAGCTTGACGACAATCAACGTCATTTTTTGATGCTAATAACTGATTGGTTTTTGAAATTGATCGGTTGAGCCGTTAAAAAGTTATTCCAAAAAATGTCGGAGTTATGTTGAAAAAATACTTGTTTCCAAATATTTCGTCGAGGATATCTCTCGAACCAATCAACCGATTTTTACGTTCTAGGCGGCGATCGACCCAGTTTTTTGAGCTCTAAAAATTATTCTATTTCATCAAAAACGATCCGATAAGAAATGTCGAAGTTATGTGAAAAAAACACTTTTTTCGGTTTTCTTTCGTTCACGATATCTCTCGAACGAATCAACCGATTTTGACCGGATTAGCGGTGATCGACGTGGTTTTTCAAGGTTAAGGGCGGATTAGTTTTTGGAGTTGATCGATCGAGGCGTTTAAAAGTTATTTCTAAAAAACCACTTTCAAAAATGATTTTTTTCTTATTTTTTTTGAGATTTTTCAAAATTTCTCAAAATCTATCGGTCCGAAACAGTTCAAATTCTCAGGAAATCTAAGTTTAAGGGAACTCTTTAGAACGCCGTTTGGTTGGTTCCGATCGGTTTATTCATTCAAAAGTTGTAAGCGATTCACATACTATTTTTCTTCGATTTTCTTAGCGGGAAGTTAAAAATGGACTTGATTAGTTAAGTTTTTTGGCAGTTATCATGACCACGTCAGTTTCTATACATACATCAGACACACGGACTTCCACGATATAATTTTTTTCAACATTTTTTTTATTTATTTAAAAAGCAAAACGTCTTTTAAAAATATCATAAGTGTTGAAACTAGTGTTTTTCCATGACATTCATGTGTAAATATTATTCTGCAAGTGCGATAGAAAATAAATAGAGACAATTTTAGTTAAAAAAATCACTTGATTTTTGTAAGACGAGAGTAGAGCACTACCTAATCCGCTTCGCTTATGAGGCGTGCAAAAAATTAATTTTTAATTAAATTATTGGAAAATTAAAGTTTCAATTACCTTCAACGGCTTGATTTATATTTGTATTTTTTTTTTTATTTTCATCATTTTGAATCTGAAATCTTGTCACATTAACGTTTTAAACTAAAAAAAAAAAAACCTCAAAAAACCAAAAAAATCGGGAAAATCGCAGTTATAAATATGAGAAAAATATCTATTAAACACGATTGTTAATGACTTGAATGCATTTTTATGGATGGAATATGATCTTAGAATTGAAAGTTGACAAAATTTAAAAATCTGTAAAAAATAGCATGTAAGAGAAGGTACGAAACCATATTTTTGAATTTAGACTGTCGTTCGTTTGTATGGAATTTTTTTATCTTCACATAACCTAAGCAGCGGATTCCTTTTACGTTTTTTATTTTTTTTCTGGTATTTCTCTTGCTAGCATCGTGCAAAAATCTGACATCATGTTGACATTCTAATTTACTCGATACCTCCCCTTCATTTCATCTATGTCTTGATGAAATCGTTTTTCTTGTTCTTTGCTTATAGTCTCCCAGACTTTTAAGGAAAGTGGTCGACGTGAAAATCGATGCAGCTTAGTTTGAGGTTCATTGAGCAACCTAAATTTTTATAATTTGTTACTAATTCTTCTACTAACGTCCTGTAGTTTTCACTTTTTTTATTTCCTAAAAAGTTTTGGAACACATTATTAAAACTTACCCAAGCTGTTTTCTCCGTCTCGTTCGATTTTCCTATAAAATTTGCATCCTGAAATAGAGTTCGAATTCCTACTTTTAATTTTGCATCACTTATCGCAGGGAACTTTTCTTTCAAGTACTGGAACCAATCGCTATTTTTGTCCAAGACTTTGACATAATGTTTTATGAGACCTAGCTTGATGTGAAGTGGTCGTAGCAGATATTTTGACGGCGGAATCGATGGTGCTCATATAACATTATGAGTACCTATTCTAAATTTCGCTCTTGTTGGACATTCTTTCTTTACATAGTGATTTTTTCTGTCTCTGCTATCCCACAAACATAGATAACGGGCATATTTTGTGAATCCCGATTGTTGACCTAAAAGAAGCGTTGAAACTACAGGACGTCAGCAGAAGAATTGGTGACAAATTACAAAAATTTAGATTGCTTAATGAACGTCAAACTACGCTTCATCGATTCTCACGTCGACCACTTTCCTTCAAAGTCTTGGAGACTATAGCTAAGAACAAGGAAAACGATTTCATCAATTAAGACATAAGTGAAATAAAGGGTAGGTATCGAGTAAATTAGAATGTCAACATGTCAGATTTTTGCTGTATGCTAACAAGAGAAATACCAGAAGAAAACAGAAAACGTAAAAGGAACCCACTGCCTAGGTGATGTGAAGATAAAAAAATTCGATACAAGCGAACGACAGTCTGTAATTCGAAAATATGGTTTCTTACCTTCTCCGTACATGCTATTTTTTACAGATTTTAAACTTTGTCAACTTTTCAATTCTAAGATCATATTCCATACATAAAAATGCACCCAAGTCATTAACAATTGTGCTTAATAGATTTTTTTCTCATATTTATCACTGCGATTTTTTTGGTTTTATGAGGTTTTTTTTTTTTTGAAGTTATACTTCTTTTGGCGCGTTAGGCAAAAATGATGAGGGTAAATTTTTACGATGCGCGCGCACACCGTCACGAAAAACCGACATAATGAAGTTAGCTATAGTCAACATTTTAGTTTTTCTAAAAAAGGTACCAACAAAGTAAAAAGGACATCTAAGTATGTTTGCGTGAGAACTGACAACTGTATTCACAATATTTATTTATTTAAGTGTTTCTGAACCTACCACTCGTGTTTTGTATCAGTCCGAATAAAATCCTATATACTAAAATTGATGGTAGAATGAAGTTAGCTTAGTATCGAAAACATGGACCCTGAATCCTTATTGGTTAAGATTAAGGCGCGCGCGTAGCGCGCTATTCAAATTTCCAGTATATAAAAATATACATAAATATATATTTTCTCAAAAAACATTATAATATATTATAATAGTTTTTACATATTCCTTTGAATACGTTTATAGAATTTGGGGTTAGTTGACGGTATATATTATTTATGTACATCAAAACTGAAATAAATTTTCACATTCTTATTTAATGACAACTACCTTAAGAAGTATAACTTCTAACGCGTGTACATAAGTACACACACACTTTTTTTTTTTACTTTAGAACGTTAACGTGACAAGATTTCAGATTCAAATTCAGTGGCACAGAATACATAAAAATCATACTCAATCTGAATCCAACAAATTTTTTTCATCTTGATAATTTCGATTTTTCATGATTTATTGCAATTTTTTTGGGTTTTTTCAAATTTTGACGGCTCAACGGGCTAATAAACTGTAAAATGCTGAAAGAGCGGAAAAACTAAGGATCAGGTTTCGGTCTGGTTATCTCAATTAAAATACAAAAATTATTAACAAAAATAACACTAGATATTTATTAACAATAAATACACTAAATATTTAACTAGTTCAATAGCGGATTGGTTAAATAAAAGCGGATATGTAATACACAGCGTGGTTAGCAAAAGCGAAGCCGGTTAGCACGTGGTTGAATAAACTGCCGGCACTGAAAAAAGCGGTAATTATTGCACAAATAATTGTAAGTTATCTAAAATAGACTAAAGCGAATTATTAGCAAATTAATTAAGCAAAGAAAATTATTTAAAGGCGAAAAAGCGGTTAATTTAGAAAGCGAAATTTATGTATGCGAAAATGCGACTTGACAAGCGGGAAGATGGATGCGAAAGAAATAATAATAATTCGTCTTCTTCCTCGTCTTGGAGAAGAAGGCTACTGCGCATGTCTAACGAGAGCGATAGCCAATCAATAAATTCGTTCTATTGATGTCGACATCGATAGCCAATGGTAAAATTCGATACCTGTGGCGTGATCAGTCAGGCGGTTTACGCATACGGGTGAGAAATAGCGGAAACGATGGCTTGTCAGGTGCGTGTTGTAAATTTGGGGAGCCCACAGTGACGTATTGCTCATTGAGTGGGCCTGTTCACTGAACATAAACGTTCAATTAACTATTGAGTCTTGGGCCATATGAGGGTTCTTCCTCCTTATTTCCAGTGGTGTCCATGACTTAATTAATCTTTTTGACTATTTCAATTCGTTTTTTAGCGGATTATACGTTTTCGTCGGAGTGCTGAGCAAAAGCGGTCGGTCTACCTGCTCTGACTAAAGTGACTACAACTCCAAAAATTTTTGAAATTTTAATTTAAAATTTTATAAACATATTTTTGAATGTATAAACTTGAATTTAAAGCGAATTTAAAAAAATAAAATTTTATTCGCCACAGTGGCTATCCCCCTTAACCTCCAAAAAGTAAACTTCGTATCAAATGATCATCAGCAAAGATTTTCATGTATTCAGCCTCTTAGTTTAAGTTTACCCTTATTAGTTCACAAACATCGGCACGTACTATTTTTAATAGTATCCTATTTCGATCGGTTTTCTCGTCGAATCACTACACTGCTTACTTTCCGCAACATCACCCAGCGCATATTATTGATTCTATTTTCAATAACAAATAAGATCTTATAAACCCGTTACTAACTATTCTTCATATAGTCTATTTACTGCTTTATATGAAGAGGGTCATGTCGCCTGTGCTGTGATTTCAACATATGATTCCAGTTTCCACCTTGACAATTTAAGCCTATTTACTTACATCCTCGCTCATAAAGAATAGATCGCTGACTCTGTACGCTGTCATTATTACATTACCTTGAAAATATTTCTAAAAAGCGATTTTTTCGTAGAAAATAACCTTTTCACCTTTGCCCGTGATCTTTACCACTGACATTAGATTAATTCTCAAATTTTTTATCCACGTATATCATTTCCGGTAAGTTAACTAACTCGCAGTTTCTATCACTCACTGCTCTCTTATAAGCCGCGCCCTTCAAGTTTTCGTTTATTAAGGCGTTCGTCGTTGATTTCAATACTAAGTCGCATGTAACTTTATGTTCCAATTGTTCTCATCCTTACACAGATACATCGTACCACCATTGCCTCCTCTAAAACGTCGGTCCATCAAATTGTAGGAAGTTTAGAATTATATTCTCATTTTTTACAACGTACGTTTAAATGTTTAATTTTAATTGAAAAGTCATATAGTTGTATATCTTGATAATTATACTAATAATATTAACTATAATATATACTAATACTAAATAGAGAAGCTTTTTAATTGAAGGCTTTTTCTCTATGATAATATAAGCACTTAAGTTGTCAGCACTCACATTATGAAAGTCTTGCTCACGCAAGAAAATTCACCTTATAGGAAGACGTTATAGTGTAAGCAATACACTAAAATTCGCATGAATACGGAAGGATTAAAACATTCACATTTGAATCTTATAAGTTTTTTTAATTTTTATTGTAAAATTTCTAATATAGAAAATTTTTTCTCTTGACAATTAAAATTATTGAGTTCTAATAGTATTTAGGAATCATAACTTTGATGTATTTATTCCAATTTATATTTATTAATAGAATATCTTGTACTTGCTTTTTCATTTAACTAAATGATGATATATTTTAAAGCTTTGCAATTTCCGGATAAAAAACCTATATCTGAGATAGCTGAAGAGGAACGAAAACGTGCAGAAGCTGAAAAAGAACGTAATAAGCCTGATTTATCTTCTTGTGAATGTGCTGATAAAGAATCAACTCAATCAGAAAGAGAAAAAGAAGTATCAGGTTCGATTGCTTTTGAAGATGCATTACACAATCAGGTTTATGTTAAAAGAGTTGGCAGCAATAGTAGACGTAGACGAGATATAACTGTTATTAAACCGAGTGATCTTGAATACTTACGAAAGGTACATTTTTTTTATTTTTCGGGTTATTATCAATGTAACCATTATTCAAGTTTTAAAATGGTTACTTTTTAATCATTTAATGCCCTCTCATGATTTTTATTTTTATGTTTTCAGAACGAAACAATCATTAACACTGATCAGACGCTTAATCTAATACCCAGTTCTGAACAGTCATTCGTAATGCGAAAATTAGAACATTTCGCTACTTATAATATAGAGCTTCAAGCTTGTCGAGAAGCTGTTCCTGATGATGTAAGCGAAAAATGTTCCACAAAAGTGATACAAAACTCTCGAACTTTACCATTTGAGCATGCAGACGATATTCCGTTGGGATCACTGAAATTACAAAAAATCTATGATCGCACTAACACTAGTCGTCCAGCAGTGAAATTACAGTGGGAAGAACCAAAAAGACCTAACGGATTGATTGTTGCCTATCAAATTGAATACAAACGAGTAGGAATGCCAGATGTAAGAGTAACAGATTATTTAATCACATAGAAAAAAATATTTGTACATAGATAGGAAATTTTATGCCAAGTTACCAAACTTTATACTTACCCAACTCTACTTGGTTTCGCTAACATTGATTTTTTTAGTTTTATTGCTTGGACACTATGTTACTTTTCAAATCGTTTCAAAGCTCTTACATAAATTTATAAAAGTTTGGGATTATTAGTATTTCTTTCTCATAGGGATCGTGCATCTAGACTGTCACGCCCACTGGTGATAAAAATGTACAAATTTGGACAAAAATTTTAAACCTTAACATGTGATTTAATGTCGATTTGTTTATTTATATAAATTTATAAATGGCTTATATACATGGCTATTTGACTTAATGATGCTAAATTTCTTTCATTTTATTCAATATACATGGCCTTAAATATTTTTTTATCTTTCTATTCTTGCTTTGAATACGACCGATTACTACTGATAAAAAAACACATTTTATCAATTTTTTTTAATTATTCCATTGCTTGGTTTGATATTTTTGCCCGTTTTATTCATAAATTCAAAAACAGGGCGCGCCAGTTTCGGCAGAAGTGCTGCATCTATTTTTGCTGCACGGCCCCTATTTTACATGTGAAAACAACTTCATAAAAAAACATTTTTTTTAAAAGTCAATTTTTATTGTTTTTATCACTTGGTCAAAAATTTATTTTTCTCAGAAAATTAATATTTTGGAAATTTTTTTCTAGAAAAAAATGAGTAATAGTTTGCAAAATTTTTTTAATTTCTATTGAATCAGTTGAAGTATTGTTAACTGCGAAATAAAAAATTAGTGAAACTCTAAACAATTATATAATTACAACAAGTGCTTTTTAGTTTTTGGAAATTATAAATTAATCAATATCTTAACTTCAATCTGTGAATATTAAATTTTTTTTTTTTTTAGATTCAGCCAATTGTAGTTTGTATTAGTAGTCAAAGATTTCGCAACGACAGTAATTCTTGTATCACTAAAGACTTGCCGGCTGGTAATTATTCCGTAAAAGTTCGGGCTACAAGTTTAGCAGGAAGTGGTGCCGACTCAGAAGTACTTTACGTATATATTGAGGAAGATAGTTCAAAAGACAAATTTGGGATTATTTTCTGGTCAGTGTTCTTCATCGTTCTCATTGCAGCAATTTTTATTGGAATGTATCTGTGTAAACGTAAGCTTATGCGAAATGTACCGAGTAGAAGACTGATAGCGACTGTGAATCCAGAATATGTCAGCACTGCTTACGTACCTGATGAATGGGAAGTACCAAGAAAAAAAATTCGTTTATCTCGAGAGCTGGGAAATGGTTCTTTTGGTATGGTTTATGAGGGTATTGCTAAAGATATTAGTAAGTTGAAACCTGAAATAAGATGTGCCGTCAAAACAGTTAATGAAAATGCAACCGATCGTGAACGCATAGAGTTTTTAAATGAGGCTTCGGTAATGAAAGCTTTCAACACCCATCATGTTGTTCGGCTACTTGGTGTTGTATCTCGAGGTCAACCTCCTTATGTCATCATGGAATTAATGGTAAATGGTGATCTCAAAACTTATTTACGAAGTCATCGACCCGATCAGTGTGAGAATATGTCAAGACAACCTCCTACACTCAAACGAATAATACGAATGGCAGCTGAAATTGCCGATGGAATGGCTTATCTTTCAGCAAAGAAATTTGTACACAGAGATTTGGCAGCTCGCAATTGTATGGTAGCAGAAGATCTGACCGTAAAAATAGGTGATTTTGGAATGACTAGAGATATATATGAAACGGATTACTATCGAAAAGGTACAAAAGGTCTCCTGCCGGTTCGGTGGATGGCACCTGAGAGTTTAAAAGACGGAGTATTTACTAGTTATTCAGATGTCTGGAGTTATGGAATAGTTTTATGGGAAATGGTAACACTTGCTTCTCAACCATATCAAGGATTATCGAATGATCAAGTAAATTATCAATTATATTTTTAATATTCAGTTATTCATTCGATTTTTTTCATTTTATGTTTCGTTTGACAATTTTAGGTATTACGTTATGTCATTGATGGAGGTGTAATGGAACGTCCAGAAAATTGTCCTGATTCTCTTTATCGATTAATGCGAGGAACATGGAATCAAAAAGCTGTACGAAGGCCTACATTTATTCATATTACTGCTATGCTTTTGAAAGAAGCATCTTTAGAAGGTTTCGAAACTGTCAGCTTTTATCACAGCCCGGAAGGAATTGAAGCTCGTAATCAAAACAACTCTCTTTCACCACTCAATGATAAGTAAGTCACTTTTTTTTTTGTACCTGTTAAAATATGTAACTGATAGTTTAGAGTTCACTTTTGAGTGTTTGTAGAAGTAGATTAATGTATTCATCATATCTCTTTTAGTTGTATAGAACCGATTACGATATACACACTATGGATAACTCACATTTTCCTAAAATAGATAGATTTCATTGTGAAACTAATAACTATTATTCCTTTCGAAATATAATAATTTGCTCTCCAACATCAAAACTACAGACTTATGAAGGATTGGGTTTTTGAAAGAAAAAAAAAAAAAAAAAAAACGATTGTTTATGTATTTCATAGATTTATTGTAAATAATATCGATATTCAATGCGAAAAACGTGAAAAAAAATTTTTCTAATCAATTATAGACAATTCCGAAATAATAAAATTTTTAAAAGAACCACATGACTCTAAATGCGCCATGATTAGTTGTCCCGTTTGTGACGTCATAAACTTAAAATAACTCTACGCTCGTTCACTATCGACGGTTTCTATTTATGTATTGATGAAAAGTAGGCATCTGATTTTCAGTGAAAAAAACATTTGTTTTTGATAATTAACTTATCTACCACATAATGTGTGATGAAGAATACTTTTTTGTAACTCATCGATTAAATTTGAAATTGATTAATTTGAACTGATAACCTAGTAACATTGGTTTTGGATGAAATTCTTTGGCCAGATAATTGACGAAGCCCTGGAAACACAATCGGACAATTCTGGAACCAGACAGTTAACCAAGATTATTTGTCCAGACTGGCAACAGATTTGGAAAAGATTTTAATACAGAATCTGAAGCAATACTTAGTTAAGTTTAGTGACAAGTCTGTAGACAGAATGTGTCCAGATTATTGGTAAAGAAGTTTGACTCAGATTTCTGCGAGAAACGAATAAGATTAACAGTGCACATTCTTATTGTATTGAAATAAAAATGAGAATTTCTGCCTTCACAACAGTCTCAAAAAGTGGTGGTGGGGAGCCCTACCATTTCTAGCCATTTTCTGGACGAATTCAGGCCCCAGTCTTGCCGAAGAGTCTTGGTCAAATATCTGGAGCGAGTCTTCGACGATCAAAACTATTAACTGATATAGTATGATTATTAAATTCTTGAGAATTGGAAACTTCGATATTTTTTTCTGATTCATTTAAAATCTCTTAAAGATCTCATTGTTTCCGTTTTTTTTTCTGCAGTTGGTCTGGTAGTTTCATTGGCCTGTCGTTTAAGGTTAAGTTGACGAGTGAGCTTTTAGAGTACTAAGATAAAAGACCCAGTTATTGACACTTACAATTTTATTTTAATTAAAAATAGCGCCATTCGGCCACACCCGATATGGATAGGTAGATTTCTTATTTGAATATTGAAAAAAACACGTTATTAGAAGGCAATAATGTCCTAAAATTTATTTTTTATTATATTTTTGCAAATAATGATATGAGACCGACTACAAAAAATAGATATTCAAAGACATCTACCTAAAAAATAGGATTTGTAACAGATGAAAGTCATTTGATGATAAAAGCTAAAAATTAATTTATTCTTGATTTTTTTTTTAACTTTCCCAACTACGAAATAAATTGAAAATAGTATCAAAAGTCGACGAATAATAACTCTAATTGAAGATAATCATGTGAACTTTAAAATAAATCTAATAGGTTTCATCTATCTTTAACATTTGGAAAATTATTTTCATAAAATGTATACGAAATTCAAAATTTTTTAAAAATAAAAAAAATTTTCAAACACTCACAACTCGCAAACTAACCGCCCGATTAAAAAAAAAAAAAACTTTTTCAATGCATATTCATTAGTGTTATATGAATTAAACGAAAAATTTATTTTTAAATATTTCGCGTTATTGTCCACTTTAAAGAAATACATACATTTCATCTCAATTTTATTATAGGACTAGAATTTAATTTGCAAGCGCGCGCCTGAATATAGAGTTTGCATATATTTTTATGCTTATGATATATTCGACCAATCACATCACAAATAAATTGATGCCACATACATTTCATCTCAATTTTATTATAGGAGGATTATTATATAGGATTATAGGATTTTCATGCCGATGATATATTCGACCAATCACGTTACGAATAGTTTGCAACACATATTTTTCATCTTAATTTTATTATAGGACTAGAAATTCAAATTGCGCGCATATATGCACGCGCTCTTATCCTGAACCAATAAGGAATCAGGGTCCATGTTTTCGAGTTATTTCGATACTAAGCTAACTTCAATCAACTATCAATCTTAATACATAGGATAGATATACAAAAGATTAGTATATTCTAGTTTATTATTATAATTATTATTAAACTACATTGAATTAGGCCATGATTTTAGAAAGGGCTTAGTTATCGATAATACTGAAGCGTATAAAAAAAATGGACTCGATTAGTTAAGTTTTTCGGGAGTTATCGTGACCACATACAGGATCCGCACATACAGACAAACGGACGTCCTGGGAAAGTTTTTTAATCAATTTTTTTTCAAACTAAATAAAATATATGTCTTTTGAAAGAACTGAATATTGGTAGAGTGCAAAGTATATGGTGGGGAGGGCTGGCGCTGACTACCACTTTTACGTGTAAATCTTATAGGAACAGCATGATTTAACGCTAACGGCAGCCACTGGAACTAAATTACTCCGTTTGATTTAATATAGGAAAAGCATGAAAAATGAGGGCAGCACCATCGTGCACCTAGCCAATATTAGTATGAATGTTTTTTCTTGTCATTCGTGCATTTATATTACATTATAAGTGCATTATGAGTAAATAAACATATTTTTAGTCCAAAAAATCACTTGATTTTTGTGAGGCGAGAGTAGAGCACACTACCTTAACGCTCCCCTTATGAGGCGTGCAATATATTTTTTGAATTGTAAATTTAAAAATAATTGGTTTTTTGAGAACATTTTATTTTATTTTTGTAATTAGAATTAAAGTGCGAGTGTCAAACAACTAGGCTAGTGTCAATAACTGGGTCTTTTACCTTACATCAACTGTATTTTTGCTTTACCTTCCATTATAGTGTAGTACATAAATATAATTTTCCATATCTTCTTTTAGCTGACAAAAAAAATAATAACTAAGCTAAAATAGCCAGTTATTGACACAGGCCTAGTTGTTTGACACTTGCAATTTTATTCTAATTAAAAAAATAAAATTTTCTCAAAAAACCAATTATCTTAAAATTTGTAATTCAAAAATTATTAGTTATTAGAGTTGTTTTGTTTTTTTTTTTTATTAAAATAAAATTGCAAGTGTCAATAACAGGTTCTTTTACCTTATTCGAATTATTTAAATGTAATTATAACAACAAGAAAACCATCATCATCATCATGTATAATTAAAAAAAAAATAAGAAATCTATTTTGTCTGATACATAACCTAACATAATAGAAAAATATAATATTACAAAAATTACTCAATACAATCAAAGCCATTCGATAACTCCATAAAAATTCATTATTTAATTGTTTGAATGTGTTAACTGAAATTTTTTTAATGTTATATTCATTGTTGATGATCCCTGATTAAAAAAAAGTATTGAAAAGTATTGAAAAAGTATGTAATTCAATACTTTTTCAATACTTTTCACACACTGTATATCTATATATACATACAATATAGATATACAGTTGCATGGTTCAATACTTTTTTTAAATCAGGGATGTGGAGTAAGTCTGAAAAAAATGTTATTTATCTATCTTTGAGTATTAAAATTGTACGTTTATATAAATTATTTATAATTACTGTATTACTTTTAAAAACTTACGTCAAAATGATCCACATAATAAAAATAATTTGATTTTGTTCCAGGATTTATTCGTCGAACTGCTTGAAACCATTGGTTTCAACGTTTAACGTCTTGTGGCACGTTTAAAAACATTTTTTTTTTGGGGAGTTGTAGTATTCGTACAAAATGGTACGAAATAACCACGATAACTTTTAAGATTTTACATTTCTGATAAATTTATTAATATATTAATATATATTTATTAATATATTAATCCCTATCAACTAGGGATGTTTCGATACTCAAGATAAGTATCGATGTATAGCAGTATTGGTATAGTTTACACGAGTTGGCAACAAACTAGTTGATGTTCAATGGTTTACCTCAAGTTTCCGTAAACTTCGCTTTAACTTTTGCATTTGCAACAGTTTCGCAAAACTTGACTTTAACTTACTCATCAAGTTGACACAAATCTACTGCCAGAATTGACCGAAAAATTCGCTCAAAGTTAACGCGAAGTTTACAAAAAGATGGTGTTAACTTGAGGTAAACTTGTTATAAGTACAACTGTTGCCTTACTCTTTCCGTAAACTTTACGTCCTATTCCGGCCGCAGGTTTACGTTATCTTGATTTCATTTGTGCTAACTGGGCGGTATCAATCAACCAAGTATTGATCCCATTAAGTATCGACGGACACAGAAAATATCGATCTTACTTTTTCCTAGGTAAACGGTACATAAAATGCGCTAAACATTAAAAATAATTTTTCAATAATTAAAATTTTTGTTAATGAAAAAACGAATTTTTCATTTGAACAAAAAGACTACTGAATAATTGCCATAAGTCATAACAATTATTAGGTAAAAGATTTTTTTAATTGTTTTTTATGACCGTGTGATAATATATATTAGTTTGATTCATGCCTCATTGGTCCGTGTACTTACGTGTTGATGGTCAAGTATTAAGAGTAAACCTGTTTTTGTTACACTAAAGTAAATATTCCATGTCATTAAATTAAATATTTCATATTACGCTAAACATTTTACATTATATTTAATGTTTATAATTATCAATTATTAAATATTTTAGAAAACATAAACTAAATCTATATTTTAATTTTATATTTTTAACGTGAATTAATTGGTTCTCTCATTTCGTTAGTTAGTTAGATCGATATTTCCAATAACGTCTCGACAACAAGTATCGATACAGCTTTGATTATCGATATGAAATATCGATACTTCACAAAATAATATCGATAATTTTTAGCATCGATTTACGATCGAACATCCCTAGTTGATACTAAGGTAAGTAAGCCCTCTACTGGCCAAGCCCCCTACATTGGCCACTAAATCAAAAAATCGCATTACAATGCAGGGAGGGACCCTAAGATATCAGATTATCTTTTTTCTATTATTAGTAACTATTCTGATAGCCACCTTAACTGAAACTTGCTGTCAAATCTACGGCCGCAATTTGAAACCAAATTGACGAACAGTTTCAGTTAAGTTGCCTATGAGTTACTCTGCAATTAGACGTCAAGATTTGCTGTATAAGTATTTCAGTCCAGTTGTAGTAAAGTTGAAAGAAAATTTAACTACAAGTTTGGTTGTTAACTTGTATTCAAATTGCGACCGTAAATTCTCGTTAATTTGCTTACAACTGTTATACAGTGAAGAATTACCGTCAACTTGATGTTAAATTAACTATATCTGCTGGAAGTCCTACTTTCTAGGAAAGCGCTGGCTATCTGAGTAATGGAAAAATTTACTTATATGTGCATTAAATTTAATTTTTGTTGACTTCTTATCAGATAGGTTAAGGTTAACCTCTTATCAGATAGGTTAATTTTTTTGAACAAGCTATTATAAATTGAAAATTTCAATAATGGCCCTGAATAAAAAAAAATATTGGATTGACTAGAAAACCAATACTTTTCAATACCTTTTTCTTTGTCTCAATACTTTTTTTTAATCAGGGAGTTCAATTTTTCATTACAATTTCAATTAGCATTATTCAAAACAATTTTAGAAACTTATCAATTAATAATTTTTTATAAATTCATATTAAAAATTGGGTGGCCAATTATCGGGACAAGAAAATTGATTCTATATGTATTATTGGCCAGTCTGTTAACTTTTATTTTGAAATTATAAGTATTTGTACACAAAATCTTCAAGTTAATTTTTCTACATCAATCTATTGAATTAAATAAAAAATTTCAAACTATTTACTTACTTGATTTATTATTATTTTTTTTTTGTTTTTTTCTATTTTTTTATTAGAAAATTATATAAGTAAGATGGCCAATAAAGGGGACATCAGGATTGGAAGCTATTTTCATTTATGTTTAAATTTCGGATAATTTAAAAATAAATTTTTTTTACTCAAAACTGAACGTATACACTTCACGGTTATATCATTATTTTGTACATAACTCGGTTTTTAATATTCAAAATATTAATTTGAAAAAAGTCTGCTTAACGACCGGTCCCTACGATTGCAGCTTTATATTTCTCTCCTAATCAAAAAAGAATTTTGAAAAAAACGCTCTGCTACGTAATAAATTTTTTAATTATATATTTCGTAGCAGAGCGTTTTTTTTTTTCGAAATTCTTATGTATTTGAAAGAAAATCATAAAACTGCAATAGCTTTATAATCATGAATGCAACAAGGATAATACCGTTTCTCACATTGAGTGCGAGGCGAGAAAAAGAGGAGACCGGCTGTTAATAGGCCAACAGATAAGTCATTTACCTTATTAAACGAAATGATGAATAAAAATTAACTTTGTGACGTCACAAGTGCGCGGGTTAGTTCGGAAATCGTCGGTGTCTTTGGTACTATGTTGAAAAATGTATTTTATATTTGTTATAACTTTTTAATTATCGCGGGAAAAAAATAGTTTTGTTTTAAAATTTATGTGTAATCTTTTCAATTATGATAAAAAAACAAAATTTTTTCTTCAAAAACCCAATTAAATTATTCAATGCAAAACTCAAATACTTCTTGATGATATGGAATAACAGGGAATTCTTTGAGAATTGAACAAAATTTATAAGACAATTATAGTGGTTAAGCATATTTTGTGTTATGAAAGTAGTTCGTGTTAAAAACATTTTTACACTGAAGTAAACGTCCTTGTATTTAGAATATGTTTCCTTGACGAATGTAGCTGATCAAAAGATAGTTTAAATATTTGACACTCGAGTTGGAATATATATCCACTTCAATGTGGTCAAGCTTTAGTTCTAGTCTCATGTTCATGGTTTACCCAGTTGTACACGAAAAAAGACAAAATAGCCTTCATTAGTTGTTTGTCATTTTTCGGGATTTGCTTATTTCAATCGCTTTCTATAAAAGTTATATGAAGATTTCTTCTGTAATATTGTGGTATAGTTTGATTATACTTGGCCACGAATCTCCTTAAGTTTTGAAAATATCGATAGTACTGAGAACTTTCAGTCATTCCTATATAACAATATTTTTCAAGGCTTACACAAGTCTGCTCTCAAGTTCAATAGTTGCTATGGCGTTATTTTTCATCTGTGAATCTTGCTGCAGATACTTGTGGCGGATTTAAATTGCAAGTCTTGTGCAAGCTTTACACAAAAACTTTAAACTACATTATATAATTCAAAAATCGAAAAAGAAAGTTGTAATCGTCTGAAACATACTTGTTAAAATAGTTTTTAATTCGATTTTAGAAGAAAACTAGTACCAGAAGCATGTTAAATGTACTGACGCATGGGCTTGCACAAAATCTGCTCAAAATCAATTTTTTCGAGCAACCATCTCTGTCACTCTCTATTCCTTCTTAAGACATGCGCAAGCATCTGCTGCAAGAAATGTTTTGGAAACCAACAATTTAATTTGTATCACACATTTTGCGCGAATCTTAAACAAGTCATACGTAAATGTCTGCTATAAAATACTGTTCTAAGAAATACTTTAGAAGCTTTTTGAATGCATAATGTTAAAGATATCTCTAATATTCTTGCGTGTAATACTATGAGAGAGTAAATAGTGTTAGGTTTGTTTCTGTTCTGTTCTTGATGTTTACTCATTCTGAACGCGATTGCCGTATTAGATTGTGCTTTGCAGAAGTTGCTGTACATTTGATACCTCACAAAAATTTTCACAGACCTTTTAGTTAAATTATTTCAAAATATAATTTCAAGTAGTAAAAATTTGTTTAAATTTATCAAATTGGGAAGTCTGTGACTTTTAGAGTTAGTTATATCTAGAACGAATTTTGCCTTTGAAAGAGAAAATCATTCTATCAATTCACTACCGTAGATTCTATATTTTCTTTTTGTTCCTTATTTAAAATTTTTTTATTCAAATATTTATTTTCGATTTTAAGAACTCATGAAATAATTTTCGCAATGTGACAGTACTTGTTCCGTAACAATTTCTGCAGCTGCTACAATATAAAATCTTTGGTTAAAAAAAGATTAATTTGTAAAAGCCATTTTTAATATTTTATTATTGTTACAGCGATTTTGAAATGGCTTCGTTAGACGATTTAAGAGAAGACGAACAAGAAGGAGATGAAGGTCTACCACTACGTGAAGATTTTGGGGATTTCGCAAGTGTTGAACCAAGTTGTTTTAAAAATAGTACAGATTCAAGATATGATTTAAAACCATACGATGATAACCCTGGAATTCCTGCGAGCTTCCACGATCTAAACTCTTCAAAGATGCCTCTTAAAGCTGGTTTTGACGATTTTGATGGTGTATCAGTAGGGTCTTTTTGCTCGAGTAAAGATACATTGAATTTTCCATTTGTGGAAGAAAGCCTTAAATCAGTTAAAAACTCCCCGTCCATAAAGAACAATAGTACGACTCGACAAAATGTAAGTCCATTGTCAAGTAAAAATTCTTTGAGTCCCCAAAACAAAAAAAATCAACTCATTTTACGAAGTCATGTGCGAAATAAATCGATCCAAAATATTAAGGATATGGATTACGTAAATCAAAGCACTGAACTTGTGTCAAATGCTGAAATGCAAGATATTAATTCCACTCAATTAGAATATCCGTCATTAGATAATGTAGATGTCACTGTTTCAGTTCAAGAATCGGAACAACAATCTCAGACTGATTATTTAGATAAAAATGAAAGTCTGAATAATGGATACATTAGTGGAACAACTACGTAGTTTACAAAGTAACTTGTGGTGCGTAAAGAAGTTTACTGTTTGTTAATGAAATAGAAGCTACATATACGAAGCTTGTTAATATAAAACTATAAAATTATGAAATCGGTAACAGCATGAATGGTTTATAATTGAAAAAGCTTTTTAATAATGAATATATTAAAATTTTAAAAAGCTTTAAGACTTTATGTACACTACAGTGTATATATCTGTAAATGAATAATATTACATTAACGTTTTTTAATTGATTAATCGTATTTAAGAAGTCGCTATTCTAGAACTTTTTTTGCTTGCGTCGAATAAATCGCAATAGTATCGTACTGTCGACAACGCTCATTAACAAAGTTACAGCTACCATCATTTATATTAACGTTATTCAATTTTTATGCTCGATTTACTGCATATCGAACTCACACACAGATTTATAAATAAATATATATGTATATGAGCAAATTTATTATTTTAAAGGTAAAAAAAAAAAAAATGAATAACCTAAATATTATAACAATGAAATATTGATTGATAAATTTTAGCCTAAATTATTGACCTTTTAAGGTCTCGGAGAAATTGAAATAAGTATTCCTTTATAATGCTTTAAATGTTTTATACGATCTTACTAAAGTAATCTCTTATAGGTGCGATTTTTTTACTCCTATGAAAACATGCTTAACCTAATCAATTTTTATTAAATTTAGTTTACTAATAAGTGATGGTAATAAAAAAACTAATCAAATGCCTGGAGTAGCGGCTACTATCTATCTGGTAAATTATTTTTAACCTTAAAACTAACTGTATGTAGATTTAAAAAAAAAAAAAAAAAAAAAAAAATATATTGGTGCAGGTCCAATTGAGTAATAAATTTAATTTTTTTATATTTGTAAAGTTGCTATAATTGTATAATTAATATTTAAGTCGCGTTTTCAAATTATACAATGCGATACGTGATCACTTAATTCATTTAATGGTAAAAATTCATATATATTTATATACTGATGATAGAATTAAACTTTGTCATAAAATTTTTTGATGAGTAAATTAAAAAAAAATTAAAAACTTTACCAAATGCACACCTCAAATTCTTTGAAACAACGGAAAACATACATTGAAACTCACAATACATTAAAATAAAATTTTTTTTTTTATTTTCAAATTTCAAGGCAATCGATTTATTGAATCTTTCAATTAATTAGTTGTAAAAAAAATAACCTCTTTTTATACAAGTTATACAGGCCTGAAACATTTTGATTTTTATATGACCCTCGTAATGTTTTATGAAGAAAGTAAAGAATACAAGAAAAATATATCAACTTTTTCATAAAGATCTCTATTTTTTTTGTTAAATAATGTATTATATTAAAACCAGGAATATTTTATGAGGGGTTTTAATGAAGTAATCTTTAACGATTAGATTGATAAAATTTAATGAGAAGTTAGTTTTTACTTTCTAAAATCAATATACCGAAAAATTAGGCCTACAATACATTGAATTTATTATCAAAGTGTCTTGTATATTAATGAAATTTTTATATCATCACTTTTATAATGCAGTTTATTTTAAAGCAGTAAATAAATTTTAAAACGACTTAATGAGAACGCAACTGCACAGAACTTTTTAAATGAGAATAATTTAACACTCTACAATTGAGGTGTGCAAATATATAAAAAGTTAATATGTTATTTCTAATATCTGTTTAGTTTATAAAAATTTCCAAAAATAAATTTTTTATTAGTCACCAATTTTTCATGATTTGAATAATAAAAATGGTAACAACATTATTCCATAGTCCGATAAAATAGTTGTCGAAAAGAAGTCATTACTTAAAGTAAACTCTAAGTGGTCATTGTATCGTGATAAAAATCCTTGTAATTTTTATCATACTCACCATTACAGTAAGATTATGGTATATCTAATATGTCGTTTTGTTTTCCAACAAAAATATATAAATTTTCTTATTTTAGGGTGATTCAAAAAAATTTAATTTTTTTCTTACTCATTATCTAAAATGCTTATTTTTGGTGACAAATAAATTCTCACCAAATATGGGTTCTATACTTCTATCCCTAAAAGTCGCTTCTTTATTTTAAGTTTTCTATTAATGTAAATAATTTTATTGTATTGAAGAAATCAATATTTTACTGATTGTTGTACAGTTTTTCGCCGTGATGACAAAAATAATTTATCATATTATTTTGAAAAGCTTAAAAACATAACTTTGAAGCTCATATAAGAATTATAAAATAATTGGTCAATTACAACGAATCGAACTTTTCACGAATAAATATAATTATTTATTATTTAATGAAGGGGAAATTAAAATATAAACAACGAGCTTTGAAGCTTATTTCCTCTAAAAAGTATTGAGTAAAAATTTTGTTTCGTAAAAAAAAAGATTTGAAAAGTTCAGACACAAAGAAAAACTATCAAAATTCATTTTTGAATCACCATAATAAATGTATATTATATGTGAGACGGATTAAATAAATTGACTGTCCTTTTCTCCAAAAACTATATCGAAAATTTGTTTAGAATGTCGGAAAAATGATACTACATAGATTATAACTCTCAATTCTAATAGAGTGGAATCATTCCAGTTTGAAGATTTTTTTTTTTTTTTTTTTTTTTTTTTTTTTTTTTGTATTAGTGGCCTAAAATTTTTGAAATATTTTTTTTTTTTTCGGTTGACTTTAATAGCCATGTATACCGCGAACGTAGCATTCACATAAATGTCAAAAATGTCATATAATAATACATGGCTAAATTAACAAATTTGGCACGCTTATATATAGTTTAATATGTCGATAAATAATTCACATAGTTATTATAATAATATATAGTAACTATTCTATAGTTATTCACATGCCTGGTTGTAAATGATGGGATTAAAAAAGTTACTTTACTTATGTGTGAGTCATTCATACTTCATTATGTATTATCATATGTGCATCATGTACTCATACATATATGTTCCTATGTAATTTATTTCTCACATAATACCCATTATCTATTGATGACAACTATACACTTGATAACCCTCTATGCACTTAATGAGCCATCTAAAATATCGTTAGATTTAGTATAATTCGGTTGATTCATCTTAGAGAAATTTTAGAGAAGAATTTTTTGTTATTGAATATGTTAGAAGGTTTTCGATCAGTCAGCCTTGAAATAGTATCACTTTTGGTCATCAACAAACTACTTTGAGAGTTGTAAATCTACTTAAAATTATATATTTATTCTGGGTAGCATTATCTATACGTCACTATTAATTCTCTTCTAATTCACTAGAAAAATATATTTATATCAATCAACACTTATCTCCGACAATAATTTACAAAATTTCGAAATTTTTGTCTCAAATTTCAAGAGAATCATTTAATTTTTCCGACATTCTTAATAATCTTTTCGTTCTGATACTTTTTTGAAAAAAAAAGAATTTGATTTTGATAAATCGGTCTATTATATAAATATATATTCAAGTATTCGAAAAAAAAAGGTTTTTTTTTTCATAATCTTACAATTTAACATTAGGTATGACAAAAAATTTCCTATAGAGAAACAGTTCAATATCGTCATCAATTGCGATGAACTCAACGGTATCCCTTTTTCCCTAGAATCTTTAAGTTTTCAATCATCTAAAGCTCCATAACTTGACTTGTTGAGATTACGAAGAAATTATGCAAAAAAAAAAATTTTTTTTCTTATGGACTGAATTTTCTTAAAGAAAACGTATTAAACAACAAAAAAAAAAAAAAAACAATCGTACGTATTATTTGTCACATCACACATATATAAATAAATAATATTGAACTTTTCAAAGGACATTAAGGATCAAATGAATGATGTAACAATATAATATTAATATAGGAATATTTAATAACATGTTATGTATGGTATGACAGGTTAAAAATGAATGTATTATTGCACTGATTTGTTATTTTATAGATCATCTGATGAAACATTAAAATATTGCGTAACATCATGTGAAATGATAATCCGATATTATCTAATTTATTTGATTCTTAAAATTCTTTGAAAAAAGCAATATTTATCAATATTTCAGTAAATATACGAAGTTATTGTATCCTCCATGTATGATGAATTATTAAAATCACTAAATTGCACGACTCTTAATACGAAGCAGTAGAGTGTGTTTTACAATCGAAATTTATATCATATAATCATAATTATGTTTTGGATCAATGGAGTAAGAATCTTAAACGAAAACGAACAAGATATACCTTTGATTTACTAATAGTACAGTTATATCGTACAATCAAAACCGCTTGGTAAACATGAATGTAAGCATTTTTAAGAGTGTTTATAATACAATGATTTATACATACAACTCTACAGCGTTAAAAATAGATAGAATAAGCCTCAAAATACAAGACTGATTAGCTAAATCCATCTGTATAATCTCGCAATTTATAAAAAGTAAAAGATATCTAAGAAGTTTTGCAAGTTTTTTTATTTTATTTTTTATAAGTGCCATATAATTCATTTCGTACACACATTCCTAATTAATTTATTTTAAATCATTTTTCATTCGTTCATGATGAAAGATTATTAATAACTGTAGATTTTGTAAATATTTTGTATTCTTCCTTAAAGTGTCCCGAAATTTAGTGTCACCGGACGACGTTGATTCAACTTCGGATGTCCTAACCGATAGATGAAATTTAGACTTATCACGGGAGTTGTTTGCGATCAGCAGAAATCCACTTGCGAATATAACAGCTTCAGTGATATCTTGAACAACGAGTTAATTATGATACATACTGTATGAGTTTGAAAGAGTAGTAGGGTAAAAGATCCCATTAGTGATGGAGATCCCATTACTGACACTTTCTTTGATGTTGGTACTTATTCAATTAATGAAATTATTAATTTCTATCATGAATATATTATTTCTAATCTTTGAAATCTTTAGATCAATAAAATTTTTAATTTTTATTCCAAGTAGAACATTTTTTCATTGAAAGAAAAAGTGCCACTAATGGGG